TGTTTGAAGGACATTTCCATAAACAGGGCGCTCTGTTCTGTTGACAGGGCAGGGCCCCATCCTTAGATAACGGTAGAGGAAACACTGCATCAGTTACCAGCTAAATAAAGCTAAAATAATAATAATAAATAATAATAATAATAATAGACAAACCCACACTAAGCAAAGGACCAGACACAGCAGTTGAGCAGTGAAACACCTAACATGTTCATGACTAAACTGCACTCTCTTTGAGAAGAATGTCTGAGGCCTCAAAACAACCAGTTGCATAGCAACAAATACGACTGCAGAAAATGAGAGAGCGATGAATACAATGCACCACACTGAAACACATAAGGGAAAAAAACTAACAGTATTCCCTCAAGGCAAGAGAGGACATTCTTTTCATTCACATAAGAGGCTTGCACACTTCCTTTCCTTGCAGCTCAACATGTGATTCGCACACAAACACACGCACACACGCGCATGCACGCACCTTCTATGCATACTGTCCAAGGATGCTCACAGCTCCATGGAAATTTCCACTTTTACAAGTCCATGCATCTGTAATGGTTGATGCAAACAGCTAAGGGTAGCAGCAGCAACAATGCTAATACACACAGAACCTGACTTTATTTTTTTTACATCTTAATATTAGGGCAGGGACAACACAATGCAAAAGATATGCATGGACTTTGAACCTGGGCTTTTTATAACCAAGCAATTCAAACAGACAAACCTGTATAGACATGGGCTAAAAAGATATTGTAAAGTGTACAGTACCTTTTGTCACAAGCAGCAAAACAATCTTTAGATTCCAGATAGTAACTGAGAAGTCCTAAAAAACTGATGTTGGCTGCTGGACTACAATCAATGTACTTGGGGCTAAATTTCATAAGCAACCACAGTATTTTAAAGTTGCTCATGTAGGATTTAGATGCTGATGGCTAACTTAAAAAAAAGGTTTGCATTTGTTCTGGACATTACTTCTTAAACACATTACATGTTGCAAATGGGAGCAGCCTCAAAAACACAAGAAACAATCTATTTATTTGGCTTGTTTTTGGTGTTGCTCGTCTCATCTGTTCTGATAAGAAAAATAAGTAATTATGAACAAAAATTTGCTATGATGTGGATTAAAATTAAGTGGTGAAAGCATTAAGATTATCCGCTGTGACCTGTAATTTCCACCACTGCATCTTTGTACTTTAATATTTCAATCATTTTTCTTTCCCATCTGTGTGCAATAGAGACAAGTCAGTGATTTTTTTTTTTTTAATGCTGAAAGTCTAGTTATGTATTTTTATTTTTTTCCCACACAGAAATTTGGCTTGATTTGGCCAAATTGATTCCTAATAGGCAGCACGGTGGCGCAACTGGTAGAGCTGCTGCCTCTCAGCGAACAGGTCCCTGGTTCAAACCCCGGTCCAGGAGCCTTCTGGGTGGAGTTTGCATGTTCTCTCCGTGCATGCGTGGGTTTTCTCCGGGTGCTCCGGTTTCCTCCCACAGACCAAAAACATGCATGTTAGGCTGATTGGTAACTCTAAATTGTCCCTAGGTGTGAGTGAGAGAGTGAATGGTTGTTTGTCTCGTTTGTCTCTATGTGGCCCTGTGATGGACTTGCGACCCGTCCAGGGTGTACCCCGCCCCTCGCACAGTGATTGCTGGACATGGGCACCAGCGACCCCCGTGACCCAAAAATGGAATAAACGGGTAAAGATAATGGATGGATGGATGATTCCTAATAGAGCTTTTTCACATAACACCTACAGGACTGGATGAGACAAATATTCAAAGAAAGATTTACCATAGTAAATATAAACAAATTTGGATGGTTATCTTGTTTAAAATGCACATCTGGAGTTTGCAAATAACATTTTCTGCAAACTTATTAACTAAAAATGGTACACACTGAACAATTTATTTGTAACAGGAGGACAAAATGCAACACAAAGAAAGATCGCAGGAATAATTTGTGTAATTACAAATACATTAAAAAAAAAATCTAATGCTATTTACAGCAGTCTTTTATTCTAATTATTAAAAAAATGTGACTTTATACAAGAATATATCTTCCTTTTAGACTTTTTTTAGCACGTCTGTGAAACCTCTAGTCCTGAAATGCATATTTCTCAGTAATCCAGGATTGTTATTATATTTAAATAAAGCACTTTAATATACTGATTGACTTTGTGGAAAAAAAACCCCCAAAAAAACGAGACTTCAACCCAATTCAATCATCATGGGCACTCTTCAAATTTTGGCCTATCCTCGAACGCTGGAGTGTTGTGACGCTGCGTGAGGCAGCCAATGGCGACGCATGAGGAAATGGTCCTGGAAGGCTGTCAGGCAGGGAGCAGTGAATGACCATATATGGTAAAATCTGCAGTCAGCAGGAATGAGAGGCAAAGGCAGAGGCAACTGAGAAATCAAGAGGTTTTTTAAAACAAAACTGACCATGGTGCAGGGAAACATCCTGGAAATCAAGCACACCCAATGCAATTTTGCATTTAAAAACAGAGTGCAGCCTAAACATTGCGAGGCTGGTGGATCAGACAAAACAGAAATATCACCACACACTCCCTATCCCTATAACACGCTTCCATCCATGTATAAATCAAAATCAGATTTATGAGTAATGAATATTTGTATTTGTCATAATTTACATAAACTTCCTCTTTTATGTAGGGAGGAAATCTTTTTAAAATCACTAAATACTTGCCTGTTGCCATCACTCCCACAACTTCCTTCATATGGAAATTAGGGAATAAATTAGCTGGAATCCAGCAACGAATGAGAAAAGGAGATTGAAAGCATGAGGGAAGAGGATGACATGTGTTTAGCTTGACATCTGATCCCCTCTCCATATATCCCTATGTTCTGACAGGATGAAGCAACAATAGTCGTAGCTGTGCTGAGTCAGGGCAGCTCGACGCACAAACCCACATCCCTGTGAGTCAGACAAAGAGCCACCCCATCACCTGACTGCTCAAATGAGACTCAGACATGAGGGTCAGTTGCAGATCAACTACTGGTGATTTCAAATTGATAATAAAAAAAAAAATATAGAACATAATATAGAGTAAATGCTTTTTGAAAAGAATTTAATAAACATCTCTATAAAAGCCTGCATAGCTTCATGTGGCTTAATTCTAAAGAGGGGAGGAGTAATACCGCACTTCTGCCCCCCCCCCCCCCTCAAAATTCAGTGAAATAATGACAAAAGGCTGAACTGTGGAGTAAACGCAGGACAAAGACTGAGCAGCTGGCTACCCACAGAGACGTACAGAAACAGCGTGCTGGCTGGACAAATGCACCAATGCTAGAAAAGGGACAGGTTAAGAAAGAAGAGCAATGAGGATTTGTGGCTTAGAAAAAAAAATAAAAAATCAAACTTTCTTAAATCAAGCTCAATCTTATCCAGATAGCAGCTCAAAACTAACAATTAAAATGGTCAAACAGCTCGTTAAAACAGTTTAAACAAATGTTATCCTGGTGATTTTTCAGGTGGATTATTAGAAAATCCCCCACATGCAGAGATCAACTTTGTAATGCTGGTTCACTGCAGTTTGGTCTGTTTCTGGGGAGACTTGTCCCACTTTTGAGACCTGCATTGACAGCTGAGGCTATACGGAGATTTCCAGATGGGACTTAAAATATAAATAAAAAAATAGTGTGAAAATAGCACAGTGACAAAGGCTAAATACAAAGGTTAAAAAAGAAAAGGGATTGTTCATTAATTTAAAAAGAACTTAAAGCTAATTTTAGGTACAAGACTGCCTGAAGATTAGTTGTTCACATGCTTTAGTAGAAGTACAGGTTAAACTGACAGCAGTCATAAAATGCTCAACAATAAATTTTCATGAAGATGGCGCTCCCCTTTCAACTCCAGTCTAAAAGCCTGGGCTGCTGATACGAGGAAAATACTTCAGCTGAAGTACTGGTTTGTCAACTACACCAACCTAAATGCAGAGTAATCTAGAAGTTAGAAGTGTTTTTCAGCCTCTCGCTACAGATGAATTGCTTAAGGTTGTTTCTTCACATAGAAACCTCAGAATCTTTCAAGCAGTATAATTCCGTTGTGAAAGTAAAACTTGCTCTGTAGACAAACTATTGCTGTACAAAAGACACGGCATGCAGGGGGCAGCTCACACAAAATCAAAGACAAAAACGGGAGCAGGAGGAGCATGAAAAGGAATGAGCTCACAGGCCACCTCCAGTACAGGTTCTGCATTGAATGAGGTGCTGAGAGGTGTAAGCTGTGTGATGACAGGCCTGAGCATCCAGTCGCTACGCCAGAGCCCTCTCATATGACACGGTAGTGTGGTGCTGTATACTAATTACAGACAGAGAGTTGATCTGTCAACAGCATTGTGATGCTTAGTCATTCATAGTGTTAGGACCTAACACTTAGCCAATGCTCGAGTCTAATAAAAAGCAGCAAGACAACCATTCCCCACTATCAAGTATAATGTCATTCAAGAGTTCTCTGGGGGAGCTATTTTAAACATCACTCTGACCTCTATTGCACATTAATTAATCCTATCATGACAGATGGTTTGAAACAAAAAAGAGATTTGCAGTACTAACTCAGTTACTTGGACAAAAAAAAAAATTCTTCAAATGCAGTCTTGCCCAACCAGAGTGTAAATCTGCGGAGAGATTCCTTATATGGAGACAAGAATCAGGAGACAGTTGGCTCTGGAGTCGTTTCTGTTTTACACGTAAAGGAGGGGCGTGTCTGACAGCCTGCTGGTAAACATTAATCCCAGAATACACTGACATGCAGCGTCAGCACTACAGTTTGCATGAGTTGAAATGACTGTTGTATGCAAAACGTGAAATATTGGTTATAACTTTAAACAAAGAGGCCATTTTCTTTTGCGTCAGTCTAAATATAACTTTAGTATTATAAGCAAACATGGTTACATAGTTAACTCCTTCAAAATACTTTATGAGATAGTTCTGGTGATCCACTTGTGCACACTGAATGAAATCACATTCACACAACTCAAACTTACCTTCTGAAGAGGGAGAACGAGGAAAGCTCCTCCACCACTGGCCTCAATAATTATGGCAACAAACTTGGGGTTGACGGCACAGAAGGCGCTGTCCCATGTGACCCTTGAAACTCGAATGTCATCGTAGCATTGGTCATTCTTCACCGCCTGGCCAAAGACGTGACGAAATTTGCTCTGCCGTACAACTCGTCTCATATCTGCAAAATGTGCAGAGAAGAATTAACATGTAGTTTCCTAATGTGCTATACAGTAGTTTCATGTTTTATGATATGTTATAATTGTCATACTGTTTCTACCGAGTTGTTTTTCCTTGAAGGTCTTCCATAGTGCCAGATATTTAACAACCAAGAACTAAGAGCATTTATCTTCAAAACAGGAACAAAAAGAACCACTTCCAGAGGGGGATTTGACATACCCAATCCAAACAAAAACAGATTTTGTGGCTGGTTCAGTGAAAATCTTCACCAAAGCAACAATTCGCTGGCAGATGGGTGCTTTGGAAAACATGCTCACTCAGAAGGATTGGGTCCCACTGCTCTGCTTACAACAACAAGGCACTTCCAAAGATAATGCAAAGCTGGCCAACACCAGATTACTAAAAAAACTACATGCAAGTACATTTTCTCAGATGACTCTGCAAAGTTCCTCTTTTAAGACTTTTTTACAGCATATGGAAACAGTTTTACAGACCAAGGCACTGCACAGGATGTGAAACATGTCTTGAAGGTGTTAGGTTCTTGGTGCGTTTGTAGATGAAAAGACCAGGGATAAAAAAGTGAGCATGATCAAGACCTGTGTGGCTCATTTTTGACTTAAGAAAATATTTCACCATGTCGACAAGTAGGAGATAAGCAATCCAACTCTTATCAAACCAAAGTACCTAATGTCATATGTTAAAATAAATCCTAAACTTACTCAAAATATAGATCTGCTTGCGTACAGTAACAGTAAGCTTAAAAATGCATTTTTAAAAGCTGTCTAAATTTTGTGATTTGCTTTGTCTGGAATAGACAGTCTGATCTCTAAATTAAACAATTAAAAAAGAGTAATGTAAAAAGCAATAAAGCATACTGTGGAAAAGGAGTAATTTATTTGAAATTTGTCATGAGCAGTCAGAAATCGGTTTTGTTAGCTACAATAAGCTTTTTATATCAAAAGGTAATTTTTAGACAGTAAGGGCTGTGGCCTGTTTCCTTACATTTATTCCTAAATCACTTTAATCCCAAGCATTTAAAATTGTTTAGGATTAAAGTTAAGGCCTTATGTAACAAACTCAAATTCAAGTAGATGGCAACTTATACAAGTTTTTGATCTTTAACAAAGTGAACATTAACATGAAGTACACAAATGCAAGTTATTTTATGTATTTTTAGAAACTTTTTGCCAGCATAGCCTCAGTACTAAGATTAACATTAGACTAATTGGATTTGATGGTGCAACAGCCCTCTGACCGGACTATGATGTGAATGTTGGAGTGAACTCAGAGTACACAGCAGGGGTTTAAATAGAGCTTAGGAAACAATTTTGTTGTATTACTTGTTGTTAAGGGAGTGGGCTATAACTATAAAGTAATTCACATGCACGGTCATGCCCGTTTCCACAGACAGTAGCCTAATCTACATATGCATAAAACCGTTCAAGTGAAATGTCAAGGTTCTTTAATAAAAAGTTGTTGATGGCAGAAGCAGAGCCAAGTGAAATCTGTTGAGGCAGGAACAAAACTGTCCCTCAGCTTCCACAGGAAGTGGCTGTGCATGACCTACAGAAAAGCAGATCATTTCAGATGCTTTCAATTCCAGCACGTGTCAAAGCATGTTTAAGAGGAACTCAAAAAACAACCATACTGTATCACTACATCAACATAACTGGTAGCACCAGGCCAGTAGTCATGACAAAAAAATAAATAAAAATAAAAGTCACTCGGGCAAAGTTTAAAAACACGTGTTTTTATCAGACCAGAAAGGTCAAGAGATGGAGTAATTTCAGAAGGTGAATAATCTAGCATTTCAGAAATGTTACTCTGTTTCTTATCCCTACACCTCTTTTTTACTTTTTCCCCTATAGGACCACTTACCTTACAATTAAATGTATAACTGAACTGATCTCCAGTGATTTGTAATACCAGTGTAATAACAAAAAGAGGTAGAATACAAACAAGTCACACACACTTAACAGAAACAATGCACTCCATTGTTTTACATATTTAAATGTCTGTACAGAATTGTCTCCCAAATTTCAAGCCTTAAAAGGGGAAAGTCCAGTTGAAAAACAAAAGAGAACGAGTAGGTCTCTGACCTTTGACTGTTTCAGCTTCAGATACCCGTGTAGACTGATGTTTGTGGTATTATTTTTGAGACTGCTACGTTAGCCACTGGTAAGATTAAAAAAATAATTAAAACCAATAGTTTTGATTGCTCATGGTGTAAACAAATATCTATTTTTCTCTGAGAAATCTTCTGTTGCCTGTCACTTATATCCCTTACCCAGCTCCAGCCTTGACATTATGCCATTTACAAAGTTAAAGCGTAAACTACCGTACTTGTCCTGATCATCCCTTGAAAAATAGAAAAGAATCAGTTTCAGAATGGGAGCTTACTGAAAATTAAATAAAGGCAAAAATGTATGCCTTTGGTAGACATGTTTATGCATTTAAGGCAAAAATAATCTCACAAAAACCTAAAATGTTTTTTTTTTTAATCAATGGAGAAACTTAATGACACTGTAATCATGACTGGTATTAATGCTCAGGCATCACTATGATATTCAGGCATAAATTACTGTCTGTCACTGAGCATCAGTTAATGCTGCTGCTGCCCTTGGGTCAAAATAACCTGTAAAGAAACGTGTCCAGATGACATGACTTAACCTTTTTTGTAGGTAGTTTTAAAACGGGGGTCTTGGAGGTCTCTTTGACCCAAGGGCAGCATGAGGGTTCAGTCTAATTCTCAGTGCTCAGAGTTACAGTATCAGGTACTACATCTATGAAGAAATGTTAAGGAAATTTCAGGTCAGCAATGACAGCATGTAGGTTAGCCCATGACTAACTTATTTGCTGATGTGCCTTTTTTTTTTTTTTTGCAACTAGTTATATAAATTGAACCGGTGACGGAGCAGAGTTTGACCTGTTTGAGAGGAACTACAGCTTCAGAACATCCTCATTCTTCTGACTAAATTTTATGACAGTTCATATGCTACAGGCTTACAGTCACATGAGTTTATGGTATGTGAGCTCAAACTGGAAACAACCGAGTCAAGTTCCTTTAATTTTAATGTGCTTATATATGCACGTGCGCGCACACACATGCACACACACACAGTAGGTTAACATTTCACCCCACATACTGCATTCCACTGAAACCAATTTCTGCTTTTGCATGTTCTACTGAATTTGCACAGATGTGAAATGTGTCCCTCAACACACCTGTGCTGATTCTTTCATGTCAAAATAACTCGGTGAAACAGCCTATGTAGCAAAAGTTTTCATCCCCACAAACCCATATCAAGTCCTTTTTAAATATGGACACGATGACCACATTTAAACATACATCAAAAACAGCAATAGAAACTTGGCAACAGTTTGCACTCTTTGGCAACTTGTATCCAATAAATATTTACACGTATCAATTGTAAAGAGGTAAGAGAAGAACAAGGGAAACAGAGGGATGTATGCCTCCATTATAAACTTGAGTTCTCTGTTAAACCAGAGGATTTTCCTTAAAAATCTACACATCCAATAAACCAAGGAGAAAATGTTTTGCTTTACAGTAGCAGAGAAACAGCCCAGATTTAAAAAAAAAACTTTTAGTGTGATAGAATGCCATTCCTTCAATGTTTTTAGGGCCACCAAACAATGCCTGTCATTTGACCCAAGTTGCACAGTAACTGAACACAATAGATAAATAAAGCACTGAAAAGGGAGCTATTTTTCGTGAATCTCATTGTGAAGTTGTCAAATGGTAAAAACAGACATTTGTCATTCTGAAGGCAACTGAAAGTCCATGTTTAATGAGAAGGGACATTTAACATTGTATAGTTTTACAGTAGTTACAATTAAACATGCCAATTACTGTAAATTGTAGACAGCCAGATTATGTCAGTACTTCAACAGAGTTCTTCAACAAAGCACATGCAAAGAAAACATTCGCAGAGACGTCAAAAGTTTTAATTTTACATCTGAATTTGAGAAGAAATAAAAAGTTTAAAGGTTTTGATTTTTCCCTGAATGATGTTGGAATACACATCGGTCCTTGATGCTTTTTAAAATCATAACAAGCTGAGTGAGCTCAAAATTAAAAGCACCAGTAAGGATGAGCTAATAATGAAGAGGTAGGGGAACAATTACAAAGTTTATCTCCACATTTATTTATATTAATGAAGACCTTCTACGACGTGTAAAAGATAACCACATTACAATTTTATGTGGCCTAATCATTAAGAATGAACAGTTTAATGTAATATAATATGATGGTTATTTCTGGAGACTAACTCATAGAGATGGTGCTGTCACTGTAAAAAAAAGGTTAGGTTTAATTAGGATGGTAAAAATTCCAAATAAAAATAAATGAATGAAGCAAAATTGGTATTTTACTTACTGACCAAAACTATTTCATAACCTATTTTATAACGGTTTTAATTTATTGATATAAACTTTAAAATGACAATATACGAGCATAATTACGTGAGTGCTTCAGTAGTAGAAATAATCTTCACCAGCATAGAAAATAAACGACAAAATTACAGGCATTTTATTTATTTTTAATTTTTTGCCCATTTGTGAGATTCACCCACAACTCAACGTTTTAATTGGGAGACGTTTACCTTGAAATGCAGAGCAGGACAGAGGTAACGTCAGTGTCAAACATACAAGCTTTAATGAGAAAAACAAAACAAAGCTGTTACAGGTTATTTAAGTTTATTTAGTTAGTTCTAAAGTTTTAATTCATTTTTGTCCTTCACTGTAGATATGGTTTCCAAGGAGGAATGTGGCTGCTACAACTGTCCTGATAGGTCAAGTGATATGGTCATAGCAATAATCATGAAGTGGTGGCCCTTTGTTTGGTTGTCATCTAGATCATTTGAAAAATCCTTTTCTTGTAGTCAAGGCCACAACCCACTGTTGAGATTTTATTTCAGCTAAATTTCACTGAATATTCAACAATGAAATAAGGTGCTATTGTATCTCATTTACCCTATTCCAAACGACCAGGTGATATAAAACCCAAATTTGATAATTACCAGATTTAATTAATTCATACAAAAGCTTATCTCATCTTATTCTGTTCAGACATGTGTATGTTGGAGCCCATCCCAGCTGTCAACCAGCGACAAGCCGGTTATACACTGGATAGGCTGCCAGTAAGTCTCATGTTCACAAGCGCTAAGAGTTCAGATTCCAACTTCCTCATTCCAAAACAGGAAAATAAAAATGTGTCGGATAAGATATGTAACTTTATCTGACAAATTTTAAGGTGAAACTGACAGTGTTCAAGGCAGCACTCTAGATTAAATCCTCTTTCAGTTCTGCTAGACAGAAAATTAAACCTTAAAAACTCTGTATCCTTAAGCACAGGTTTAACAGGAAACGCATCAAAGTAATATAATAGTAATAAAAACAGTAATGGTTCTTGTTATTGGTGCATGTGTTTATCAAGTTACATCTTTAACAAATGTCACGTAGGTAGGTACAGCATATCTCCTTGCTTACACACACGTACGCTCTTTAGAACAAAGCAGTCGTCTCCTCTTCCTGATCAGCTACTTGTCCCTCCCCCAGTGTTACACACAAAACAACACAATTTCAACAGATGTCAGCTTTGTGGAAAAGACCAAGAATAAATAAATAGTCCTGGTCATTGTTACACTTTATTTTTCTCCTCCAACAAGTGCAAGAGAATTGAACTTAAACCATTTTGTGCCTTTGGCAAACACAAAAACAAATTTATGCACACTATATTTTATACAAGCGTGAACTACATGGGCTAAAAACAACTACTGGTATTTGTATATAGTTGACAAATGTACTGTAGCTAATAACATACTGATGTTTTTCTAATTAATTTTAATTATGCATAAAACGCAAAGAAATGTTCACATTTTGTGGGAAAAAAAATCACAACACAGATTAAAACAGGTATTGGGTAACAGGAAGTTTTAAAAGACTAAAAAATCTTTGACTTTCAAGTTGTCATGATTTAAGCTAAACAGCAAAAAGTTTAACAAGAAAACAAACTAAGGTATGTCATTTTGGATTTTTTTTTTATGCAATCTTTCCTGCATAGAAAACAATTCCTCCAGCAGAGCAGACGTTTCTAAATTTTATAAAAATGTAAAAGATGAGTAGAATTTTGAACATTCTTAGATAATCTGTATTCAATTTTCATGTATGACATATATGTAATATGTTGGGACACCATTTCAATGTCATTTGATTTTGAATCTTAAAAAAAAATGCACTTAAGTGGACCATAGCCCACGCGAAGAAACCCTTGTTGCTGAGCTAGCCCCCCTTTACATTTTATGTTTCCCCCTGCTTCTTCCTGACCCACTTCCTCAATCCGCAAAGCCATAAGAAGACAGGCAAAGCACTCCTAAAGGCCTCGTATTGGTGCTCATCAAGCAGAGTTCGATGTGTCTGAGAAGACTAACAAATCCAAACACAGCTGTACTACTGTCGACCCCAGGTTGTCCTTTCAACCTTCACCTCTCTTGAGATCCCCTGCAAGAGTCACAGGCAAACCTCCTGAGGGAAGGGTAACCTACTTCACCACAGAGGCAATAAATGTACGTTTTCTTGGCTCACTGACCAGTAATTACAATTCAAAATATGTCATTGTCATTACCAAGCAAAACCACAAGATCTGAGGGATTACACAGAGAGCAAAGTGGGCCTTCATCCACTTTGATGAAGGGAGTTTAAACTGAGTCACTGGTCAAAAATACAGAGCTGTGGATCAATTTACAATTATGTTGTTTGTTTTTATTGTTAGTTTATTGTTATTTACAGCTGCTTAAGAACAGACAGGTCAATTGAAAAGCCATGCAAAAATAAACCTGATCACTTTTTTGGTTCCTCTTTCAATTTTTTAAGAATTATGATTTGGTTACATGGTAATGCTTAATAAATATATTGTGCACGTTTTTAATATGCTGCATCATGAAGTCAAAAAGTCCTTATAATAAATGTACATGTATAACATCTGTCTTATTTAAAACGAGATAAATGAGATGCAAGGTGACAATCATCATGTTTGAGCATGATTAAACCAAACTTCTGGGATGTTTTTTGGCTACAAAGAGCAGCTATTACACAGTAATAAATGGACTGAGTGTACCAAATATTCATTAAAACATTTCTCTAGTCTGCCTTCAGTTAGCATAAGTAACTGATTTAGAGTGGTTTTCTACCAGCGGTCCTCCACGTGTTACAACAGTGAGCAGAGCCTGAAGACACTCATGCAGCTGGAGATGTGCTTCATGAAAAGGTCGACTGCTAGGAGCCCCTTTCTTCCACACAACTGACTGTGTGTTAGTGGGTCAAATCAGAACCACGCTTCTGGGTGGAAACATTTCGACTTCATTCAAACGGTATGTGAAAAACGAGAGTTCATAAGACATTTCTGCGTATGAACGCTATTGTTCAGTTCGGGGAGAATGCCAGGGGCCAGGGCGCGGTTTGTGCTGACTGCACCTCCGTCTGTGTGCGTGGATCTGTCGGAGATAAGTTTTCCTGCCGCACTACGGTTAGCTACCCCACCCAGTTCAATAACACCCAACAACAACCCATTTTACCTCTTTAAATTAAAAAAACAACAAGGTCGACTTGAAAACTGTAATTCCTTTGGCTCTGAGATAAGAAACTTCCTGCCGCTGTCAGTTAGCTAACGCTAGCTAAAGAAACAATTCACGTTAAGGTATCCCGATTCATTTTAGCTAGCGCGTGCACTTTCCTGTCTGGACTGCTGCGGTTAGATGAGTGAATGAAATTGTTAGCTTAAAAAAAAAAACACGCATCCAACTCTGAAATCAATATAATTTGTGACCTACCTTCACGGTGGAAAATAAAAGTATTCCTGAAAGATGAATGACAGAACAAAATCAAACGCGTATCCCAAATTATTCCTCCCTCTACCGGAGCTGCAGCTGCGCTGACACAATGTTCTTTCTGCTCTTGCTCATTCTCTTCCGCAAGCCCCGCCTCGTGACGTATACGCGAGCTATGAGTGGCTTCTCTCTTTTTGACAGACAGGTTCAGCAGCCAATCAGAATGGTGTTATGGATAAAAGGGACTGAGGTCAGTTCTTTTCCTCAGACTCCCTGTTGAAGTATCTTTAATTGGTGGCCTACTTCCTTTTCTCTTCATCAGATAATTCAAATCTGGTTTATAATCTTGTAAAAAGATCTTGTTTTTGTTGTCTTGTTTTGTTAAAATCTTGTTTTTGTTAAAAAAAATATATATATGAAGTAGCTTAGTGTGTTTTGTATTACAATTAGAAAAATTAGAAAGAGTTATTCATTTTGTTTCGTCACTTGAAGATTATTATGATTGAACTAATCGTTTGAAAAAAGGGGCAGATAAGATTTTTTTCTTCTTTCTGCTGCCTTTCATTTTAAATCTCTTGTATTTTTTTATAGTTATGAAACCGTTTTGTATGTTTAAAATGAATAAACTTTATACCATACCATACCATAATCTATGATTAATTTAGTTAGAACAGTTGTATTTACCAGTTAATTAAACTACTTAATTGGATTTACTGTACAGTACCAAAGTTTTAAACCACTCCTAATTTTCTTGTAATTTGCTTCCAAGTATGTTTTTGTAATCTCTTAAAGTGGTCTTAATCAATTAAGTCTAAAGATCTTTACATTTTTTTTTTTTTTTTTTTGGCCTTTGATAACCTTGTCCTAATTTTCTATCCAGTACTTAGGCACACAGCTTTGTGCACTTTAAAAAAGTGGTCAAGTGGGGGACAAAAAAATAAGTTTCAGGCTTCAAAGACCATTATAGCTGAATTCAAAAAGCGTTCAATACAAAAACAACTGGACTTTATTTGTAACAGAAGACGTTTCGCTCCTCGTCCGAGGAACTTTCTCCTCAGATGAGGAGAAAGCTTTTTGAATTCATCATGTCCTGGATGACTGAGAATCTTCACCAGCATACTATTATAGCTGACAAACGGTATCAGAAGATGAAATTGCAAAAAAACAAATAAATAAAAAGAGAAAAAAAATAACAGGACCTGAGCAATGAATCATCCTTCAGCTGATCAGTTATATGCCAAGTACTTAACACATATGAAAAAAAAAACATTGATGTTATATACCATCTTACAACTGCTAAACTGTGCAATATTTAATATTTTGTATGGATTCAACTAAAAGGCAGACAGTATGCTGGTAACAAAAATACTAAGATCCTATTTTAATTATTTTTTGATAGGATGTCAGCACAACACTTTTTATCTAAGGTTTAGGCGATTTTTATGGCTGACCAATTTAAAAAGTCATAATTAATTGCTTTAAAACGGCAAAATATTGTGAAAATTGTCAGGTGCTGGACAGAGAACTAGTGAAAAAAGTTTTAAAGTTTAAGAAAAGACAGACTTACAAAATGTTTGAACAACTATTAATCAAGGTCCATTTAAATTACCAAAAGAAAGTCTGACTTCATGGAAGGAAATCAAAGAAATGAGGGGTATGTTAACTAAGACTTTTGCACAGTTCTGCACGTTGAGCTGCTCAGAGAAGAGCTTATGAATCTTAAATAATTTTAAAGCATTTGGATTCACCTTAATTTGTTGTGAAAATCCAAAATTGTAATCTCAGGATGATGCGTCAGTAATAAGTAGAGGTAAATCCAATTGCATGTGGCCATAAAAGAAAAAAAATGTGTTGGCTTTATATTATTTTTGGATAAAATAAAAACATTATTTTTCTACTGACCATAAAAATAACATCTTGCAGTTTGAGAGTCCTCTGAGGCAGTTACACTGAAACGTCAACGTTTTAATTCTGTCAGTTTTTCCCAAGAGTACCACAAGATGGCAGCATTCAGCACGTCCACAGTAACAGACTCCTCACAACAGGAGCAGCTGCAGTTCATCATCCAATCGGTTTCAATAACTTTTGTCACACAAGGTAATTTAGCAGCTATTACTTTCTATAAAATGTCTTCCGTGCTGAATGAAAACCCACTTTAAAATTTTAAATAAATACACCGAGGTATAAAACCATATCATTTTAACATCACAAACCAGAGTTTTTAATGTCACCAAACAGAGTGCTGAGTTTCCTTCTTACCTCTTCTCACAGATGGTTTCCTCTCTATTGTCCTGTCAGGGGGTTTGTGAGGCGAATCAAACGCTGCCTTCATCTGTGCCACCTTCACAGACTGACCCTGCTCCTCACACTTGACCTCTGCCGGTTTTGGCCGCTCGTGGTGCTGCAGCTTTTCGTGCAGCTGAATCGTCTCCTTTATGAGTTCTGAAACAGGCCTAGGTTTGTGCTCGTTCTGGGATTTGTCTCTCAGTGTGACGCTGTCATGGCTCTCCGTGCAGGGCTTTCTCTCAGGATGATGTGGTGGTGTGTTTTCTGAGTAAAGCACCTGCTTCTGATGATCCTGCTTCATGCTGGCTGACACTTGGTGGCTCTCCTGTGTGAGAACAGTCCCATCTGCAACCAAAACTGCACCATCATCCCCAGCTGGCACAGCCGTGTCATCACAGCCCTCCTTCAGCACCTGCGTGCTTCCTGATTCATGGTCCACACTGTCAGAGCCAGTTGTTCTGCTTTTCGTGTCAGACTTATCTGCAGGAACAATCTGAGACGGCTCTACAATTTGCCCGATGTTTTTTGCAGACGGCAACTCAGCATGAAACTTTGAAAGGAGAGCAGATCCTTTGACGACCACACCACTCACCTCACATGATGATCTCTCATGTGAAGCAGCTGATTGTGAGATGTTCAAAGGCACACTTTTAGAAGGTTTTGGACTTCTTTTTATCTCCTCGTTCACTTTCACTAAAGCCTTTGCGGGTTTGATGCCCCCACCTCTCGAGGAATGGGATTTTGTGAGTGAGCTCCCAGACATAACATGGGCAGTCTCTGCAGGCTGAACACAAATTACATCTGAGGTTAAACTCTGAGCACTGACGGTCTCTTTCATTTCCAGTTCCAGAGTTTCAGGATCACTCTCTTTTACTTGAGTACATGAAACCATCTTAATGTCATTTCCAGACTGATCATGCTGGTCACTAGATGCTGCTGAAAGTCTACTGTCCACCATCTCCCCTGCACTCCCAGGAACATTTGAGGTGTCCTGAATGTCAATTTCTTTTATTTTAGACAAAGACGAGGTTGCCTCGGTTTTGTTTCTCTTTAGTAGCTTCTCCAAAATGGAGCTGGGCTCAACGAGCAAGGCCGTGTTTGATGCAGAATCAGAGGCCATGACTTCGTTTGTTTCAGTTGAGTCCATCTGTGGATGCTGTCGGTCCGCTTCCCTCTGATCATCTGCGTCAGTGATTTTTGGTTTCTCATTCCCATCAGAGTCATCTTTTAGTGTTTCTTCTTTAGTTTTAGTCTCCATTCTCTCTCTTGAAACTCCACACTGAATGGCAGCACTGATGTCTAATAAAGACTCCTTCTGCAGGCTGTTTTTTAAAGGATGTGGGGGTTGAGCTCGTGGTTCCTTCCTCTCACTCATGCAGCCTTCTGTTACTTCATTCAGCTTAATATCCTGCTCCTCAGCTTCACTCAGAACTGGAACAGGCAGCAATTCGCTTCCTGTTTGGGCTCCATACGTGTTGCTTAGCATCACAGAGTCCTGGTTTTCCTCTTTTGGTGGGATGGTTTCCTCAGCCTGATTCTCCATCTTGATCTCTGAAGATGCCTCAAGTTCCTCCTTAGCTTTTCTCGGGTTTACGTTAATTTGATTAAACAGCTTGTGTGTTCTTTCCAGCCTCTCGATTCCTGGGCTGCTCTTGTGATTCTTGTCCGTTCCACGTGAAGTGGTCCTGCCTCCGCCCTCCTTTTCTGCAGCCCCTCCTTGTCTCACCTCCCACAATTGTTTGTAGCTCTCAGTAGAACTTGGTTCACTGCAGGGTCTTTGCTTCTGATGCAGAGAATCTTGCTCGTCTGACTCTTCCTGAACCTCCTTTTCAAATGAACCTTCCCCTTCTGTGGTATCAGCTGCACGGCCGTCCATGCTTTCAAAGTCACGGCACGGCCTTGAGTCCTCTAACTCTTCACGGAGGATCTGTTCTTCCCCTTCCATTTTGTCCTGGTTCTGTCCCATAATGCTCTGCAGAGAAAAAGTCATAATATTGACCAAAAAAACACTTTTTTGTGGGCTGTTACTTCAACATTGCAAACCAGTTAAAACTGTGGGGGTAAAACTGACAAAAATAAAAAGACACCTAGGACTGACCTCACAGTTTTTATGGTTTTGGGAAGCGATCATGTAGCACGCTTCAAACAGGTCATCGCACAAGAGTTACTTTCAAGGTGGTGGTTAAATCCACTTTCTTGTGGCCTCAGCAGCTACAGTTAGCTCTCTGTCTGTTATTCATGCACTTACAGTGTCCACGCTCGCTCAGCTTTAGATCATATTACAGTCACAAGACTTCAACGCAATATCTCTTCAGATTTTGATCCTTTATTTTAGACTGGTTTCAGCAGAATCCCTGCATTTTCTCTCATCGACTGAGCGATACTCCCCTAACAATGACACTTCACAAAGTCTCGCAGTTTATCAAAAAGCATCTGGCATTTTTAACATCAAGTTGTCGTCTTGTGTTTCTTGTGATCATTTTTCTACTATGACTTCATGTGACCTGTTTGGGAACGTTACCCTGAGCTGTTGGTACAAATGATGTAAAACTGTGAAGAAGGCTGATGAAGATGCATAAAAACCTCAGGAGGAAGAGGCCAAACCTGCACGATCATGTTGTGGAGACAAACTTTTCCATGACATTGTCTAATTGCTAAATGAGTTTTCCCCTCACAAAACCACAGCAGTAAGCAGAGTAAACGATAGAGCACAATGCACAATGATCTGAACCATGAGTTTTGTTTCTCCTCTGCTTCCTCACGGCCTGTCTGTGTGACAACACGAGTGCTTGTCTGATTATCTGTCAAGGCTGCACACCAGCCACACATCTGTTTAATGGGAGGAAATGTTTCTGCACTACGAAGGAGGCGAGGCTGTGCAAAAGAACTGCAACTCAAGAGGAAGAAGAAAAAAAAAAAACGATAAATGATCACATAAAAAGATGTGAAAACACCAGTAAAGCAAGTTCAAGATTTCATATGGTTTGCTTCATGTCAGGTAAAAGCTAGAATCATGACATAAAGGAATTTGCATCCAGCTTTGCTGACCTTATGGGGAACCTCTTCCCTGAAGGCAAGTCTTCTTCTGCAACAACTGCTTCATTATTTTGCCTCAACCTCCCTGAAATGATCATTTGATCACCATGTGCTCAGCTGGCCCAGCATACCCAGACATACAGGAATTCAAAGTCAATGAACCATCCCTTTTTCACAAACCAAAAAGTTTTCAAATACATTCCTTATTTTCCCTCGTATCAGTTGTGATAATACAAAAACTAGCACAGGCATGGCTGATGACAGCTCACAGCTCTCGACATAACGTTCATGTCGTATCATAAATGGCAACTGACACTTACCAGTAAGGCGTTGCAGCCAAGTGGATCGCTCAGGACTGACAGAGGGATCTTTGTTGGTTGTTAGGGGATGATCGGTCCTCCCTCAAACACACAAGCATCAGGAGCCTTATATTACATCCATGTGATGTCACAGCACATTTGACTAATAAAATCAGGGAAACTTGGACATGTAGTTGCTTATTTCTGTTTCATAAAGTCTTGGAGAAGCAACATGTGAAATTTTTATTATCGTTTTACAATGGATATGTGGGATGACATTATCTGGACATTTAATAAGCTAAATTAAAGAACATGACAGCTATTCAAAAACATGATTGACACTCTGCAGAACTGGGAAAAAAGCTAAATATTTGTGGTATTTGAAATGTAGCTTTTTTATTTTGATGTGCACTTTAAAATGGGTAATTTATATTTTTTTCTCTGTGCTTCATAGGAATGTTTTTTTTTCTTGAAAAGTTCAGTAAGAAAAATAATTTATTTTACCTCAGATCTTATTTTCATGAAATATTTGATTAAAAAAAAAGCTGTGTTTTGTTTGTCACTATTTTTTATTTCCTGTTTTTTTTTATTACTGAATGCTTTCCAGATATTTTTGACAGTCTTCATGAAATATTTTGTTGCAATTCAACAAGTTTTAAGCATTCTACATATACAAACATCTGGTCGTGGTGGACGAAGGACCCAAATGCAGGCATGAAGAGAGAAGGATACAGATAAGTATTTAGTAATTAAACCAGTGGAGCTCAAAGGTCCAAAGGCAAACAGAGTAAAATACTGACCAGGCAGCACACAGGGCTCCAGCATGAATCTATGGATCTACCAAACAAGGGACAGATGTGGAGGAACAGAATGCAGATGTGAAACAGGAAATAGAACTGCAAATCATGAACAGGAGAATATGTCTTTTCAAAGTAAGACAGGAAATGAAGTAACAGGAATAATGAAACCAGACAGAAAAATAAAAACATAAAAATAAAACATACACACAACATCTGGAGAACCAAGCCGACTGCACCAACCATGACGAGATGGGAATGCTTTGAGTAAAAAGTTTATTATTGTTTATAGAAAATGTTGCAGTGGCTTAATCAGGCCATGTTCTGATGATCTTTTAGTTTGTAGTGAATGCATTTTTAATGTTTTTTAAATTGGTTTTGTTGAATCTGCTTACTTATTCAGTGAATATTGGTTTCCTACTTAAAGTTTCTTCTGTGCTTTTTTTTTTCCAATTAAACAGCACACTTTGTTATTTTAATAAAATAAAATAAATAAAATCAGAGAAGAAGACCAAATGGTGGAAGCTGAGGAAGGAAGAATGTTGTGAGGAGTTCAGAGATGAGCTGTTAAAGGCTCTGGGTGGTAAGAAAGAGCTTCTAGATGACTGGACTACTACAAGCTATTAGAGAGACTGGTAGGAAGGTACTTGGTGTGTCATCTGGACAGAGAATAGATGATAAGGAACCCTGGCGGAGAATAGTGAAGTGCAGGAAATTATTTGTAGAAAGAGGTTAGCCAAGAAGAAATATGACAGTGAGGACTGAAGAGAGGAGACAGGAATATAAGGAGATGCTACATAGAGCAAAGAGGGAGATAGCTAAGATAAAGCAAAAGGCGTACGATGAGTTGTATGGGAGGCTGGACACTAAAGAGGGTGAGAAAGACTTGTACTGATTGGTGAGACAGAGGGATCAGGCTGGAAAGGATGTGCAACAGGATAGATTTGTTAAAGATAGGAATGGTAATGTTTTAACAAGTGAGGAGAGTGTGATGAGAAGATGGAAGGAGTACTTTGAGGAGCTAATGAATGAAGATAATGAAATGAAAAGAAGAGTAGAGGTCATAGAAACTGTGAACCAGGAAGTGGGAAAGATTAGTAAGGATGAAGTTCGTAAAGCTCTGAAAAAATGATAAAGGGGAAGACAGTAGGACCTGATGACATACAAGTGGAGATTTGGAAATGCCTTGGAAAGATGGCAGTGAGATTTTTGACTAAAATATTCAATGGCAGATTTCAGGGTGAGAAAATGCCTAAGGAATGGAGAAGAAGTGTGCTGGTGCTCATTTTTAAGAGCAAGAGTG